CCATCTTCAGCATCTAAAGATTGCGTGGATTTTTCTTACGATAATTAGCTTCTGGCTTGACTGGGAGATTGGAAGATTATTATACCAACGGTTTGCAGCGCTCTGTTGTTATTTCAGCATCTCTCTTGACTGCAAAGAATTAGTAGAAGGCAGAGGTTCGGAGCGGGGCCCTGGGAGTCTGATAATACCTGGCTTGAATCTGACCTCACAGATATACCCGCGTATCTATGGTAACATTTAACAACAATACTAACAAAATGGAAAACTGACAACAATATACGGCAATGAAATCCATGGGAATGTGGTCTCTCTCTAACGAGGATGACTAAGGGGATGTGGTAATAGCAGTTGGAAGAAAGATCATAAATTCAGTTCTGAGGGTAAAGTGTCTGTGCCAATGTGCCAAACAGCAGAGACCGTGCTAGTTCTAGGGCTCGGACCAGATATCTCGGCGGGAGGCAGGGACCCCAGTCAGCAGACTCCTCAGAGCAGTTGAACCATAAGAGTTGGTCACAACGCCTGGGTAAAGTGTGGGGTGTGAGTTGTGGCCACAAAGAGAATCCTGAGGATAGCAAGAATGAGACACAAAGGAGCCGGTTAAGGACTAAAGAGAGAACAGTAAGATTTCCCAAAATATAGGAGGATAATCAATAAGATATTGCTGCACAAGCCAATGAAAGGAAGAGGAACTCAAGAGAGCGGTCAACTTTGTTAGCATCTGCTGAGAATTCCTCTAAGGTTGCTGAAAAGAGGTCCATGGTCTTTGCCAATAAAGAGCTCGCTGTTTATCCTGGTGAAAGCGGCTGCAGAATCCCAGTGAGTGGAGGAGTGAATTGGAGGCAGAGATGCTGCTGGTTGTGGAGGGAAGAGGAGAGGCAAATAGGAGATCGATGCAGGATCTGGACAAGGGCCTTTTTAATTCACGTGTTTGCCCATTAATTTTGACCATTTCTTTTTCTAAGAGTTGGTTTATTCTCTCTCTAACATGCAAAAAAATTTTTTTAATTGACTTTGGCCTGACTATTTTAGTTTACATTCTGCTTCTAGTTTACGTCACTAAATAGCTCCTTCATGTTTTTCTGTTACTAATTCCGTTTCGACTAGAGCACAAATTGCTTGCAAAGGATCTTTACATTTGAACACAGACCTTCTTTCCCCCCTCTCTGGTCCTCAGCGTCACTGGGCATGCGCAGTCCCCTCCTCCTATGCAAATCACTTGACAACAACTGTTCTCAGCACTTTCTTCCTCTCCCTGGTGCCGAAGGTGGTAATGATTTCCTTACGCGGGGCTGTACTTTTTACCCTGAGTGCTACGATCTGTCACTGCCCTTCCATCTCCCGGAGAGTTTATATATATAAAAGCCTAATATGCAAAGTG